GAAGGCCACTGAGGTCGGCTCCTTGCCATGTCAGCAAGTGTGTCCAACTAAACGTGTTCATCGTTTCTCGGACCCCAACCAGAGAGGCGTGACCCTCCAACCGAGGCGAGCACAGAAGTGAGGGCCTTCATTCCTCTTGACCAAGTCATCGCTTGGCCCTCTCTCCTCTTCTTCCATCCACACCCCCGGTAAGCGAACAACGCACGTCGCGGGAGTCGGTGGGCTGGCATGCGTAACACATGGCCGAGCCATCGGAGCCTGGTGCGTGAAATAACGGTGCTGAGCGGTTCACTTCCTTTTCCTGGGCCGTAAACAATGCGTCGAACACGCTCGTTACTCACGCGGTGTTCCCACCAGATTTGAGCCAAACTGCGAAGGCACCGATGGTCGAACGTAACTAGCCACTTTATATCCGCGGATCTCAGGGGTCAGATTCCGCAACCGTACAGTAAGGTCGAACGTACCGCTGCATTGTACACTCTACCCTTCAGGGCAAGAGTAATGTCGCGCCGCCGCCATAGGTGGCGAAGGTTAGCAAAAGCACTTCGAGCTTTTGCTATCCGGTTCGTGATTTCGTCTTTGATCCCAAGGGCGCTGATACAACTTTCCAGGTAGTTGAATTTTTGAACGACTTCTAGCTGATCCCCATCAAGGGTCAGCGCAGGAGGCCGTCCCTGCCAACCTTGGAGGAACATTTTGTATTTCGATGGTGCAAAGCAAAGCCCGAAGTGGCTGACAGCCAGTGCTAATCTGTCCAGCGTGGCTTCGCACGTCTGGGAGCTGTCACAGATGAGGGCAATGTCATCTGCATACTCTAAGTCACGAAGTCGTTCTCCTGGGAGTAGCTCCACACCTTCCAAGTCATGTCCTGTAAATGCAATCTCCATGACTTCGTCAATAGCTAAATTGAAGAGAAAAGGTGAAAACGGGCATCCTTGTCTCACACCGCTGGAGATTTTGAAGGGTGACGACAGCTTGCCGTAAGCTTCCACTCTGCCCGTGCTACGCGCGTATAATATTTCCATATTTCTCGGGCACCCTTTTCCTGAGTGAACGATTCCAAAGGGCACATCGATCAACCGAATCGAAGGCACCTTTGATGTCGAAGAACACGACTACTGTGGGCCGCAAATATGTGTGACGGTGTTCCAACAACTGACGCAAGGTGAAGATATGGTCGATGCAGCTACGACTCGGCTTGCTCCTCACGAATCTGGATTTCACAAGTGCCAGTCAGTCTGTGAAAGATTATGGAGGCGAGTAATTTGGAGGCAATGGAGATCAGACTGATTCCTCTATGGTTGCCGCATTCCGAACGCGAGCCTCCTTTGAAGATGGAACAATAACGGAGCGGCTCCAGTCGGTTGGGACAGTCTCCTGCTCCCACAAATTCACTAGTAATTCATGTAAAGCATCAACAAGAGCAGAGCCTCCGAATTTGAAAAGCGCTGGAGGAAGATCATCTGGTCCCGCGGCTTTGTTCAACAGTTCGATCTCACGTTCGACTTCTGAGAGAGAGGGTGGATCCAAAGGGACAGCCCACGGAGCAGGGCGATCACTGGCCGGCGAAGAATCGACCAATTCTAGCCGATGAAATTGCTTTTCAAAATGCTCAGCCCAACGCTCCAAACGTTTTGACAAATTGTGGATAGGCTGTCCACCCTCGTCACGTATGGTTTCAATAATGCCAGGTCTCCTGATGCCAGTTTCCCGTATCAGACGGAATAACTTACGATGGTTGCCAAGGGCAGCGGCCACTTCCATCTCTGACACACGATGAGTCCACGAAGATTCGTGGTCTCTCTTCAGGCTAGCACGGAGTCTTGCCCAGGGCTCTGCGAGTTTCATTGTGTTCGCTTCCAGCCGGGATATGCCGGAGAGCATCGATAGGTTCCAGAGACTGCGAAGAGACCCAATGTCCATGTTGGCGATTAGACTTACCACATGAGGATTTGCCTGCTGCTAATAAGGTCTGGTGAACATGCGACCAGTGAGCTTCATTGTCTCCAGTGAGCGTTTACTCAACCCGCATGTCAGCGCATTTCGATACGCATTCAGAGCAGCTGGCTTCGACAGTTGACTGGTGTCAATGCGTTCAAAGCGTCGTCGTGGGCGTCCGCCAAAACGCATCCACAAGTCAGCACATACAAGTGCATGGTTGATGTCTACACATGTGCTCCAAATCGAGCGGCAGTTCTGGACGCAACCTCTCTATCGATAACTGATTGCAATGTGATCTATTTGCGTCCAAGACTGGTTCGAGGCTGGTGGGCGCCACGTCAATCTCCGGCGGGTGCGATGTCGGAAATTAGTGCTCACAAAAAATAAGCGGGCATCTTCACACAAACGAAGTAACCGCTCACCGTTATCATTACGGGAGCTTACACCGTGCTGACCGCGCAGATGCATTTCATCAGTGGACAAGTTTCCAAATTGTGCTTTCCGATCCCCCGCCAGCACAAAAGTGTCCGTGCTTCTTCTGTGGCGAAGGAGCTGGGTCAGTTGGCGGTAGAAGTCGTTTTTACGGAATCATCGCTACAGTTTGTGGGCGCGTAGACAGCGATGATGAATAGACACCTATTAGTCCCGCGCGACTTCGAAGCTTTGAATGAGCCAGCCAATTGGACCGCACACATCCGGCTACTGATTAGAATCCAATCAATCAGAGCAGCTTCAGCCAGGGGACTCAGGGCAATGCCAACACCAGCTTGGCCGGTGCTCGAAGATGCATCGTCACCGGATAGGCGCAATGAAAAAATACTGCTTGCGTCACCTGAAGGGGATCGCAGAGTGAGCACAGAGCTCGAGTCTTTCAGGCGGGTCTCCGATAAGCAGAAGATATCGATCGAGACGGTCTCCAATGTTCGGGCAAGTGCTGGCTATTGACCGATCTGTAACAATGTGCGTACATTGAGGCATGCCAATCGGAAGGAGAATCGAGGGTTCCAAACGGAAGCCGATGAACTGGAATGGACCGCTTGGTTGGACATGGGCTTGTCGATAGGAGAGGAGTGACGCTCCGCGTTAGCATGTGAGTTGAAATTAGAAGAGAGACGTCTAGCAAAGCGTGTTGGGAGAGGGCCAAGAATCGGGGGGTTGAAAACTGGGGGGGTAAAAGTGAAGTTGGAACGGGACGGTAAGAGTGAAAAAGCGTAAGAGGGGGAATAAGAAGACGGGAAGGCTTGAGCAGTAGCATCCAAACCCTTATCCACCCTCCTCGATGCAGCAGATAGGGCACCGTTGATTATCCTCTGCGGTGGCCAGAGCATCAAGAAACTGTCTGAAGAGAAATTCATAGTATTACGTGGGTAAGATACTGTCAGGTTGCCCAGGCATAGACAGGAGAACGATTAGGGTTCTCAACCAAAGCCTTTGGTTCAAAAACCTGACCGCAAGGCAGCGGGTTTGGCGTTGGGCTACAAGGAGTCCGTTTTAAGGAATAAGGTGTCACCTTCATTTTAACCCCCAACCTGGAGGACCAAGAGGCTGTTTGTTTGGCTTCTAACCATTGACCAATCTGGTATGAGTGACACTGAAGGTGCAAAAGCACCACCCAGCATAGCTCAATAGATCGCTGAGGCACACAAACCATCGCACCACGGTAAGGTCCAGACACATTGCGATGGATGCTCTTGGCTGATAGCGCTTGACCAATCACGGCGTCGTGGATGCAATTTTCGTGACTATCGGATTATGGCTTTTGTGCCAAGAATGCAAGCTACTGCATCACGGACGGGAGCGATTGGGTTAAGGATGCGATCAATTGAGAAGTGGTACAGTTGACTTATGATGTATACAGACTAACTTCTATTTACTTATCCGCAACCGTGTATTGATATTGTCTAGGTCTTTATGAGATGGGCCATAAAACTTTTAATGGCCCACCACTTACTATATCTTGGTATTATCGATGCAAATAAAAAGTGCCAAGTGATTACACGCACAAGACCATTAGCGAGCACCAGGAACAAACGTGGCCTCTTTTGGAACAACACATCTGGCTGTACCAGGAATCAAACTAGGGAAGTTCCCGTCTCCCATCGCAGTTTTCAGCGAGCAACACCGGTAACAACAACCATATGGATTAATAATTCAATACAGGGTTTCAGTGTTTTCAATGTGTGCGGGATTGTGATGCTCAGTCTCGGAACAAATTTCTATATGCTTGAGACAAGGCTCAGTTATTCCAACCGTAGGGGCCACATCCGTAGTGGAGACATGTGCAATGTTACTCGCTCGCAACGCCATGCCCCACGACCGGTTTCATCATAGGCTGGACTCCTACATAGAGATGACCACACAACGTGAGTAATCAAGTCGGTCAAGAGTAAAGAATTCATTACGCTAAGCCTAGAGCATCCGACTGAATGCTTAGAAACACGATAATCAATACCCACACCCAAATCATCATTTTAACATCAATGCAACCATTAAAGAACCGTGAGCCTCATCGTTGTTGAGCTGCAACTCCGTGTTTCATAGTGTGCATGAGTGAGCACGGTTAAACACTCGTGGCTGTTTCCATTTGGTTCATCGCAATCAAATTCCAAGCCGCATAAGTAAGCCACCAATCAAGAAATGCACTAGACGATCGTTTCGTCCTACTGGGACTCGTCAGTAATGCGCATTCCCTCGGTTCCCTACTGGGGATCGAAGCCATGACCGCTAGAGGCTAACACCAACTAGCCAGCAGCTTATGCCACTGAAGCATAGAAGACGACAGCCGGCCATCACGGATTGAATCCTAACTGCGATATAGCCCGACCCATCCTCCACTGCCATGTAGTTACTGCCATGGAAGTTGATAGTGGTTGGCAGTCTGAGTCAGCACTTCCCTTGCCAGTGTTGTGTTGGTTGTAGTCGAGGCATAAGAAACTCCAAATGACAGAATGTGAGAGAGGACCAACCCGAACCCAAACAAGATAAGTTTGAAGGTGTGTGTGTGTAATCTATGCGCGCCAAATTCTGGCGAAATAAGCAATTAAAAAATCGATATCTACCTCGAGTTCCGCTTCCAGATGCCGGTTCCGCTCTGATATCTTCTGACATTCTAGCTTTAGTGTCTGCTCTTCCTTCAGCTTGGCGTCCATCAGAGCTGGGAAGAGAAAAGAGGCATAAAACAAAACAGACGTGGTAAAGCGCCATGTTTAAGTAGAATAGGAGTGCTAAAACAAACGCAACTAGAGATGGACCTTGGAGACAATCTCTTACGTGTTAGGTAACCATAAAGGTTTGCCGTCTGGGAGAATGCTGTTGCGGTGAACCGTGGTTGTGGTGGGTCACCGCCTGTCAACTGTCGGCCCCCCGACTACCTAGGCCATAATGTGCCCCAGCATACCTTCCGCAAAAGTTACCTGAATTGGATAATGTTTGCGGCCATACGCTTGCGAAAGAAATCTAATTCAACAAGTTGAAACTAATAAAAATTGAGTGCTAAGTTTAGGGGTAACCGTTATACCCGTTCTGAAACTAGCCAACTAACAGGTGTCAAGATTGCCACAAAGGAATGCGAGTATGGAACGTAAGGCACTCAGAATGAGTGACAAAGCATACCACTGTGCAAACGAGCCTGCCTCCCAATAAAGCGGTAACGTGAGAGGGTAGGCGAAACCCCCAAATGAAACGCGAACCCTTTGAAAATAGTTGGGCCCTAGCATAACTCCTTTTACTGGTCCAAACCGAAGGATAATACTGGGTTGGACACCCGCGAAGATATAGCGTAATTAATACGGTTAGATAAAGTGGGAGCTTAAATGGATGAACGTCGACAGTGAAACCTACGTGGGCGTCATAGGGTGTTTTAAGAAGACACGTAACTTCTTGTAACGGGATTCTGCTACACTGCTAGCACTTAATAATACAACTTAGACAGTGAAGCAAAATGACAGACAAAACAAGTCAACCCGAAAACAGGCCATGGAGAGGAAGCTTGATGAATTCAAGAGTGACTCGAGCGCGTTGCATCCAATCGGCCTTGCACCCAATGAATGTGGCCGACCTCTTGTCTTTATTCAGGAAGACGAATTGCACTGGTTAGACTGGCTTGCGGATGATCTTCCTCATGTCACCCTGCGATGGACTAAAGGCAGACACTACTGAGGCAGTTATCAGTAGCGTGGAAAGTCCAGGATGGGAAAAGGCAACCAGCCAACAGCAGACGTTACTGAATTTCCTAAAGGAGAGGAACACTTTAGAACCACAGTTGTATGCGCGCGAGGAATGGAGGAACAAGCAATGTATATCACACAACCAGTAGACAAAGAAGGAAATCCGCACCATGCAACCACCAGTAAGGATAGCGAAGATGTGTGAATGTCTCGTTTGTCGGAACGGATGCACAGTATTATGTTAGATACAATGAATAATTCCGTTTGCACTTCGGGTTCTTACGACCATATCAAGTTGTCGTGCGCGTTTTAACGCGATACTCGGGTGAGTGTGTCCCGAGATTAGACTAACGTTAGGTATAAGACGTCTGGGCAACCAAACACTTCAGCGCGACGTTTTGGAGACGTTTGCACGACTTGTTCTGTATTCCTTTAAAAATGTGATGATTCGCAAAAGCAGCAGTGAATGATGAGCGTGTATGGCGTCACGCCCCGTTTCTTAGCCTCATTGGATGTGTGCCAAGTTAGGCTGGTTAATGTTACGATAGAAGTTTCTTCCATCGACAAAGTTACCAATACAAGGATCAGACTTGAGATCCTCCAGAAATTATTTCGAAGAGATTGAGGCCGAAACAGCTCCTGTTGGCATGTTACAACAATGGCACCGTGTACAGAAGTGAGGAACCCTAGACTGGCTTCGAAATCGCCGGTTGATAATCTGTGGAAATGTGTTCTATTAATCTGGTTATCGGGTCCGAAAGATACCTTAATCACAGACCCATGAGTAGGCTGATCTTGCTCACGGTCAGATGGAGAATTTGTTATCAGTGTCATTGTGAAGGATTTCGTTGAGCAGATTGCAGGCAAGATCTCCATAACTAGATTAAAGGGAGATTTCTTACAGAAATGCTGCGAATCTCGCCACAAGCAGCCAATTTTCAAACTCCTGGAGCTCATGTAACACTGTTACATGAGGAACGCTTCTCATTCTGAATGTCTCCACGTACATTAATCCAGACTGGCTAAAAACTGGATTGAAAACGTTATCGCGAGTAGTGTTACTAATGACTCAGATGCAAGGGATCCAAATCTGAACAGTAATCAAGCGAAAGTTGATGTGCTCAGACGATGCGATCGGATGTTGACGATCGTGAGTGTTCTGTGGAATTAAGCAGGAAACTGGGATCATCCCCGATCAGCTTAGAGTTTTCAAAACAAACTTATTGAATTGATACTTGAGCCATTCGTTTCCTAGTACCAAACTGTGTCCCTAACCATATCCGATCTGGATGGTAAAGTTGAGCGCGAAAGCGAGACGAATGAAGGAGGTTATCATGACAGGTGCATACAATGGTGGCTGGGTTGTCAGGTTAGAAAATAGTAACGGAGCAAAGTTGGAGATGGAGTGTTCTACTGTAAACTTCTGAAAAAAGTCTATGTGTTGGTCCGTTTAGGTCCGTTCGGTGAAGACAGCATAAGCAGTAGTAAGCACAAACTTCAGTAAGGTATCTTAGGCTAGCTGGGGAAAGCAAACACAAAATCTCAATATACGGAAAGAAGGTATGTGATTCAAATGGAACCTAGGAACCAACACTATGCTAACACTATCATCGCCACGAATTTCAACTAAGATTAGAAGGCTTGTAATAGCTTCGAATAATAGTTCAAAAGGCTTAAATGAATAATCATTGTCAACTGTGTATTGCCTAACGACAAGTGAAGGATATACCTAGTATTCTGGAAATTCGGTACTTAAGCAAGCACAAGGTAACCGAACTACATTGGGGCCAACACAGCAAGGCGGATCAACAGGAAATAGTCCTCTTTCTTCACTGTGTAATTCGTTTTATTAGATGGGTTAAAAAGACAACCGATGACCTTCCCAATGTCTTAGACATTGTGAACCGCAAGAGCAAATAAACTCAAGCCAGAATTAAATACTGAAGACCAATATAAACGTCATCTCGCTTTAACGCCTTTCAGTCACCTGGCGATGGTTAAATCAGGGCGCAGTTTCTGGGGTAGTCTATACTACAATACAGTGAGACGATTCGGAAAGTGATCCCAAGAAATAATGGTAGAGGAGGGTAATTTGGAGAGGGTTTGATTTTGTTCCGTCATAGAATGTTGGATGACAATGCAAAGATGACACCATGACGGCTTTTGAAAAGCAGACCGATTCAGTCAGGGAAGCCACCTCACAAAAATTACTCATCAGAACACTGTTAAACGCAGTTAGTGCTGGCTGCCAAATGGACCAATCCGTTTGTACAAAGTAGTGCGTCCATCCACTTGCAGCTGAAGGCAATGTTAGATATCACTATCCGCTTGAAAAATACCCGGGGAAAGTTGATAAACCGAAACCGCAACTAATCCCCTACAACTGCATATGCGGCCGGTTGGGAAACACTGAGTTACCCATGCTCCTGTCTCTACATCAGTGTCATATGGTTGGCGGCATCCGGTTCCGGACTTGCCTGTCACTGCGGCCTCCACGGGGACAGCCACTGGACGCCTGCACCGGCAGAGGGACTATGAGTGGCTTGCATTGTACCACGCACAGCTCCATCCACACATCCCATATGCAGTGTAAAAATGAGTAATAAGACCGGGAGGCATTTGGATGGGAGGCACGTTTCATCAACGGAGCCGGCCCACACTCCTTCTCAGGCAAACACAAGCACGTAGTTGGGGAATTAGAGGCACACAAGGTGGTGACTGGACCGTAGTCCGCTCCACACTGAGTGCATGGAACCACTCTTCGAGCCCAGCACGACCACAAGGACCGTGCACCCCGTCCCCTCCAACAACGACAAACTGTCTCCTGAAGTCAGTATGGATGAAGTACTGGGTAATAGAGGTAGGCACCTTGTCAAAATGCACATCAAGCGCAGCCACACCGAAGATGTCAAGCAACAGCTAATCACTTAGAATGATGATATCAAATAAAATAAATCGAGTAAGGCATACGGATATCCCGACAACTCTTCATTAAATTAGCATAAATAATATATTAACTATCAACAAATGCGTGATAAGTGTAAGATATCATAAAATACATTTTTGAAAAATGTCACAAACGCGAAAATGTTAATGAAGTTAACCACAATTAGTTTAAGCAACATGTGCAACTTAATAGAAGATTATTCAGGTAGACATTAAAATGAGGTAAAAAAAGCATTAAGACAAGATAGCAAACCCACCATCTGAAATAAAGAGACTCAACACGCAAGCACACGGTTAGTAAATCGAATGCAGCGTACCTACAAACGCTGCGCCGGTTCTGCTTACGTTCTCAGCAGCAGCCGTCGTCGATTCGATGCTGGTCCCGAGTGGCGTCGCTCGTGGCTCACTAGGCCTGCCTGCCTGAGCACTCGCGACCGCACGTGCTACAGCACCATGCGCTCGACGTCGATGGACTACACTCCATCGGCGCCTGTCACTTCCGCAACTTCCGTTTCCTCTGTACTCACGAGGGCTTTCTCTTGCATCCCGGCAACTGAATTCGTGTTCAGATCGCGCCATGCACGCCGATCAACCGCCTTTGATTCTCAACATCTGAAATCTACATCAATATTTGGCCAATAAGGAATAACATCTGGAAAGTGATTTCATTCGTGTAAGTCCTTGGTGTCCGGCGTACAGCATTTGAATCACTTTTGTGCTAAGGTTTTTTGGTGACCATAATGCGATCTACCAGCATCAGACAATCGTTCCCTATTATTAAGACGTCTTCACGCACAAAATATGGTTTTATTTTAGTGTCCGATAGAGTTCTTGGCCAACCGTTGCGAAGATTAAAAAATGACTCGTTGTAAACAGCTATCTGACCGCGTAGACTCACAAATGTCATTGTGCGTAGCTGGTAAGTTTCGTATGGATTCCTCAAAGATACATTTTACCTCAACATCAACTTCAACTGATGAAATGACCGTGTCTTCATGTGGCTGCGCATTTGATCTGTTAGCAATCAGGCGCGATAAGGCGTCAACATGGCCAAAGTATTTTGAATACCTGTGCTTAATGGTAAAATCGTATCCCATTTCACATGGCATCCGGAAACTGGTGCAAGAGTGCTGCTTCAATCCCGTACTCTGTAGCGTCAGTAGCAACTATGATAGGTAGTTTCGGGTCATAGTGTGTAAGTGCAAGATCAGAAGTTAAAATGCGCTTTATTTCATCAAATGTAGACTGGCAAGCTGGGGATTATATCTATTTTGCACTAGTTTTCAGGCGTTCATTTAGTGGCATCCTTAGTGAGGGCATATTAGAGACAAGTTATTGTAATAGGTAACTGGTCCCAAAGACGACTGAATTGTTTTCCTGTCCTTTGGCACTTGTAGTTGTTGGATTGCTATAATTTTCGATGGGTCAGGACGACGACCACTGGAATCAATGATTGAACCGATACGAAATTCGAGACATGAAGAACGCACATTTGTCGATTTGCAGCGTAAATCCGAAACTCTTGACCTTGTCAAACACTTCATTTAGGTGTGTCTGATGTAGCTCAACTGAAGTGCTTACGATTCTTATGTCATCCAGGTAAGCCATAGCAAAAGGCAACCCGTTTAGCATTGTATCCATTACTTGTTGAAAAATTGCCGGAGCATACTTAATTCCAAACGACAGTCTGTTGTATTGATATAGACACGTATGAGTGTTAATGGTGAGAAACTGTCTTGATTCCTCATCAACTTCGACTTGTAAATAGGCATCAGAAAGGTCAATTGTTGAAAATATTTTGCCACCATTTAACTGCGCAAACGAATTATCCGGAATTGGCAATGGGTATTGGTGAGTCTGAAGTGCAACATTTAGTCCAGTTGAAAAATCACCACAAATACGTACTGTGTCACTGGCCTGCTTAATTACCACGATGGGAGTAGCCCAGGTTGAACAATTAACCTTGGTTAGCACGCCAAAGTTCTCGAAGCGATTCAGTTCTGCATGTAGCAACAGGACGGCTGAGTAGGGTACCGGCATTTTAGGACGGAATACTGGCTTTGCTTCAGGTGCGACATACAAAGTAGCCCGAATTCGGTGCACAATCGAAGCTTGACTTGAAGCCAATAACGTTTTCTCGCAAGCTTGTCAAGATGTCATTTTTCACTCTTGTATCAACAATTGCGATATCAATTGATGACACACATAGAATATTGTGAGTTTGAGTCAGAAATTGGACTGATTGGAACATACCACAATTGTCGCTCATCTATCCATTCAATGACTAATAAATTTAGTTCATTTTCTGCCGCAATGTAACGTGTTCCACTGCATTTATTGTTTCGAAATGCGGACTCACAGTTTAGTTAACCCAGAAAAGAAATTGGCTTGCGAGAAGCATTCCGCGCAATAGGCTTTCGAACAAAATACTCCGGTTCTCCAATGCTGTTCCAAGTTGAGTGTGAAGTGAATGTTACGTCAGAAGCAGTGTCGATTTGCAAAATAATTGGCAAATAGTTAATTAATAACGTGATAAATTTTCGACTGTGCCTTCAACGTGGACTGTGTGTACTGGACACCAGATTTGTTTGCCTTCTAAATCTCGTTGATCGATGCTGCTTCGGTAAACGGACACAGTGCTCCGCCATGTGACCTAGCGTGCCAAATTTATGGAGACGAAAATCGCAAAAGCGAGTAAGGTGCTAGGCACCACAATTCTAGCATGGTTTTGGTGGTCTTTGAAACCGTCCTCTTTGATTTGAAAATCCGTTCTATTCCATTTCGAACTTGTTGACTCTATTAACAAGAACCATACCTGAAATACAGTTGCTTGAATGTAACATTTAAAAACCAGGTTTCAGGTTCATCATTTTGAGTTATTCCGTCGTAAGATGGTGCAACGTCGCAGCTCGAGTCCTGTTTTGATAGTAACCTCGTTCTGATATCCGAATCTACAGGTGATTTTAAGCCAAACAAAAAAGCAATTTTTTGACTTGCTCATATGATACCATGTTGAAACCTTTCAAATTCCATGTTCACACTTCCTGCATATGTCACAATATCTTCTCTGATAATCTTTAAGTAATTATAACGAACGTTAAATATAGTCGTCCAGCCACTGCCTTGTGTGCACTTGATTCCCAAATACAGCGTGCTTGTGTTTGCCTGTGAAGGAGTGTGGGCCAGCCCCTATGATGAAACGTTGCTCCCATCCACATGCCTCCCGGTCTTATTCCTTCGGGTTTATAATGGATATGGGGTGTGTGGTTGGAGCTGTGGGTGATGCAGCGCAAGCCACACATGGTCCCTCTGTAAGCGCAGGCGTCCAGTGGCTGGCCACAGTGACAGGCTAATCGGGAACCGGATGACGGCAACTATATATATATATATATATATATATATATATATATATATATATATATATATATATATATATATATATATATATATATCCTGGTGTAATTTAATCCTTCTTTAACAAAATACTGCAGGTGCGCTCCTTTTTTCGGTGTATGTGTGACTGCAGAATGAACAGGAAAGTGAATGAGCTGACGGTGTAACATCTCATTTGCAAGGAAGTTGCAGGGTTGCAATCAAACACCTGTCGAATGGTTTACCCAGTGAATATATCATTCCGTCCGGGACCTATTTTGTCTATTTCGGTCAGATTTGACCTGTGTGATTCGTATGGGGACCACGCATACACCGGAGGAACCGTTACCAATGTGGTATTTAATCGAGTAAAGTAACCTTTTAGGTTGAAAACATTGTAGACAATCCGTTGTGCCGGATATTGTTCTTAACCGTACGTTGGTTAGTGACAACTGCATTATGAGGTCAAACGGTAGCTTGCACTGCATCTCTAAGTGAGAGAAAGCCTAGTCGCAATATCTTGAGATGGCATCAAAATGAGGTAAGTAAATGATCTATTGAAAGAACTATTGTTTATTACGTAGCCAACATTAGTCCTCTGGTCTTCCAGTACTCCGTGTCTTACCCCTACCCAAGCCTCAAAGGAATATCTCGTTTTCTGGTTAAAGCTGCTTAAACTTCATTCAAAAGGGATGGATAGTCCCCGCGTTCCGGACATATCCACTGAGCCAACGCATGCCCCTACCGCCCCTCATTGTCCAACGCTAACTCGACCGGACGCGGACAAATTGCGCAAATAGACGAGCGTACGACATAGATTTGAGTAGCGACACCGCCCCTTCGAGCTGGACCGCATGAATGTCTCTTACCTTCGGTGTAACCACCGCTTACCAAACAGCGCACAAAGCGCGATCGGTCTACACCAGCTTGAGTCCCACAGAGATGCTGGCACTTCAGCGTATATTTGTCCGAATGTTATTAACAGCTGTCATTGGTCAAAATGAACGGTACGCATTTATGTGCGTGTGGACACTAAGTCTGACAGATAAGGGCCAATCAACGCAATCCGGAACGCGTAGCGCGGTGTTTAGACGCACCGTGGCGCGCATATGGTGGACGCCGGTCCCCGCCATCCAATATCCATGCAATGTTTAGTAGAAATGAATAAACTGACGTATGGCGCGCGCGTGCAAACTAGTGGTTAGTACAGGGATCAGCTGAGTGCAAGCATGAAAGCTAATCGAGGGACAGACAGGTAGCCACATTAGCCTTTTTGATCGTCCAGCGAGATGAGGACATAAAAACACATCATGCTGTCCAGCGTTCGTTGGCTATCACCGAACTTCGCTCTGAGTTGGGAAGGCCACGGCCAAGCGTAGACACTGGAACGATCGATGGCTATCGGTGTGTCTCGGTGAGTGTGAGACCAGCCTGCTACCTGATGCGCATTAGTGTAGGTGAATTGAATTAGGCCGGAAGAAACAAAGATCGATGCTGAATACAGCCACTGGGACAGTTCTTTGATCTGCAACGAAACTATCAGGCTATTAATTATGGAAACAGGAATTAGCTAAGAGTCGGCAAGTGATTCCTCTGTTTCTAGGCCTTATGTTTGGTAACATCCCACATCAGGGGACAATCCTATCTACAATCTCAGAAATAGGGTGCTGGAAATCAATACTCTACCAGAGTGAAGAAGCTAGGTGCAGTGAGTTTATATAGTGGTGAGTCATATCCGGTACGTCAGTGTGGTTAAAAAACATTTACGGCTTTGTATAGGGAGAATGTTCGTATGTGAAACTTACCATATCCTGAAGCACTGCTGCAGTGGTGAGTTTGAAGTGGAGTATAGTGTCTATGGTGAACTGCACCTCGTATAAGTTCTTAGTTGCAACCACAGCTAAAGCACCTAGCCAGCAGCCAGTTCTCATGAACCAGCAGCATATACCATTGGGTTGCAAACTGCACACTCGAAGTTGTGATCTAGCAGTGTTCCAGATAAAATGCCTGCTGATGAACTATCGCAAAAGCTCAAAAGGCCATCATCAGCCGCTTTACCTGTTATGCGGTGACTGTGTGGCTAAGTTCATACACGTCGAACCAAGAAGAAGTAGACAGACTGTTTGGATCAGTCTCGTGCCGAATACCGAAGTGGCAATCACACTCGAGTTTCATTTTCATAAACGTAGGTAGTGTTCTTTTTAAGATAGTTGGACGAATTCCATACGGTCCAGCGTGTGGAACTTGCACTGTGGACGTACTCACTGAGGAATGAATGTAGCGCAGGCCAACGAAGAAAATGTGCGTTGGTTGGGTATGCATAAATTTGAGAGTGCTCCAACTAGACACTTCAGTATCATTGTGTGCCGGCGAGGTATGAAGCAAACCTATCGCGAGGCTAGGATTATATTGAAAATTGTTTAAAAATGTTTAGACGAATAACAGTGAACTCATTAGGTCGCATACCAAGCGTAGCGGCAGAGCAACTCACCGCGAACGTCCCCTCTGTCATTAGTCACCGCTTGCAGTTCTGCGGTTAAGAGATCAATCGTTTCCAGTAGGGCTTGCTTTTCCGCTAACGCCGCCGCCAACTGGCCTTGCATGTCATCCATAGATCTTCGCTGCAAGTTAGAATGTAACCGCAAAATGAAAATGACTGGCGTGAATACTTTGATAAATTTACTTATGAGTAGAAGCATTTTGATGAGTATTTTTGTTCGTCGCAATCAGCCGACAATTCAGATAATTCAACTACGTATCCGGAAAAGCACCATACGGCCGTTTCGCCTATTGGGGCTCATCAGTGGTGCTTTTCCGGATACGTAGTTGACTTATCTGAATTGTCGGCTGATTGCGACGAACAAAAATACTCTGATAAATGTTAGATAATTAAAACAAGCTGACGCGGTGCTACGATAGAGAGTTCTCATAGGCTCAATTCCGCTTATTGCTGTTTCTCCGCCAGCACCACAATCATCGACTCGAAGTGATAAATCAAAGGAATTCTGTGGTCCAATTTTAGGGCTGAGAGACACCATAGATCAGGGGTGACCAAACGTTGTGCAAGGAGGGTCACATTTTGTGAGGTAAAAATATGTCGGGCCATATTCAGTCAGACATTTAGATAATAAACTAAATTATATAGGTACGAAAAAAATCAAAGCCTGAATTTATTATTCCCTGATGAGGCCGCGGGCCAATTGGAATGTTAACGCAGGCCACATTCGGCCAGCGGGCCGGATTTTGGACACTCCTGCTATAGATGGATGTCTCACACTCAAACCAATCACGCAGATCCGTGATCAAACGGCCCGAAAGAAACTATACCACAATGGCAGGCGAAAACAGAAAAATATTTAGATCTCGGGGGTTGTGTGTGTGTTAACAGACAGTACCAAGTTCTGGCGTGTGTATGCACGCTCAATCTCGGAACTGATTGGAGGAACTTTGTCGATTGATAGGTTACATACAGTACGCCTGTAAAGAGTCATCGGCAGTATAGACTTTCCACGATCGCCGTGCGCGTGTTCTGATTACAGTTCGTGCGAGTTCGGGGTACCGCGGCAGAGGCTGGATTGCAGATAGGCTTGGTGCGTATCCTGAAACACAACATTGGCGTCGTGCATATGAACCGTTACAATGGCATTTCATCTACCACCTCCGGACGCTTTCTAGTGTGATTTCAGTGTTAAACCAGCTGAAAACGATGGGGCTCAGTGGAAAACTTCCCCTACAAAGTATTTCGACTTACTACCATCTACTGCTACTTAGAATGATAATCAAAAATTGAAACTTCTTCGTCACCTGTTACGCATGAAGGTCAACGATAGTTTGACGTATTGGAACCACAGAAGGAGGACACACTTACAAAGACATTGGATGTATTGCATCGCTCTTGGGATGACCTAACCAACACTTTCGTAGAATGTTACAAATGCTGCCGGTTGAGGCAAGATGACCAAGAGCCACTAGAGCACTTTGTTTCCCGCTTGAACGTGACGTAAAAACCTGTAATTACGCCAGCAACCCAAAAAAAGAAATTTGAGGGAGTTAAGCTGACGCAACAGTTAATAACCGGCATAACTGATCAATACGTACGAGAAGCATTACTTTCCGAAGGCCATTCGAAGCTTTACTGGGACACAGCCATAGAGAATGCCCGGCTCAAAACAGCTACGCTCGAACAGTCGCGCCTGTTCAAAACGAGTGAAACACTTGACATCAATAAAGTTCAGAACAAGGCTTCCTTGTTGTTGGGAAATGGCCATATTTCCCAAGAAATGCACCAGAATCAGAAAAAACCCGACTTTTTGAAATTTAAACCACGCGCACTATCTGTTTCCGCTTCAAAAAGGAGCATTGTGATTGACGGTAAACAAACTCGTTGAATAACCTAAACCAAACATGAATTACGGAAGAGTGGTCGGGGGAGTTGAATGGTATAGGTAGAACTTCGTCACATCTAGACGCACTCATTCAACTCCTCCTACTACTCTTCTGTAATCAGTAGGCAGACCAAACTGCTTATAATGCCATAAGTTAATTGGCGGCTTAAGTTTGGTAAGCTCGTCGCTTGGTGAGGGGGCTACGCTGTCCTCTGCACGGCAGTAACGTGTAAGTCAGTGGATAGTGAGCGGCGCTATATCACATCTAGTAACTTATTCACGATGGTCGTTGTGAAATTGAAAAAATGGTGAAATCGGACAACCCTGAAGAACGCCACTTGTAGTTGGAAAGCTATCCGATAGGAGACCGTAGATCCTGACGCGGCCTGTAGTGTTGAAGTATAGAGCACGAAGGATGTTCACATATTTCGTGGGAACACCATTCCGCGCAAGTATTTCGAACAGAATCGATCGATCGACTGAATCGAACGCACTCTTGAAATCGAGGAACACAGCTATTGTCGGTCTGCGGTATGCGTGGCGCTGCTCTAGCACCTGCCGCAAAGTGAATATATGGTCTATACAGCCACATCCTGGGCGGAAACCAGCCTGCTCTTTCCTAATCCGAGATTCCCGTTCTGCAATGAGGCAACGAATGATAATCGAGGCCAGCAGGTTTGTCACAATTGGCGTTAGGCTAATACCCTTATGGTTAGAACAGTCTGTGCGACTGCCATTCTTGTAGATTGCCACTATAATCGATTCGCTCCAATTAGCCGGGACACTCTCTTACTTCCAGATACATTCGAATAAGAAGGTCAATGCTTTGCAGAGGACCTCACCTCCATCCTTAAATATTGCAGGTGGGAGGGAATCCGGACCAGCGGCACGAAAACGATTAAGGGCTGTGATCGCGTTTCGGACCTCGGCCTCCGACGGAGGCTCTAAACTAACCGCCCATGGCTCGTCCTACATCACCTGAGTAGGAACAGGTCCGGGAGCAGGGGGACAGCTGAACTGATGTTCAAAGTGTTCCGCCCAACGAACCACACGGCGCTCCTTATTGTGTATCAGCGCACCCGCGCTGTCCCTGATTGTCTCACTGACGCCTGGTTTTCTCGGACCAGTGGTGCGCATTAGCTGGAAGAGCTTGCCGTAATTGCCTACTGCTCGTGCCTCCTCCATTTCTTGAGCTCGACTGGTCCACCAGGCTTCCTTGTCAGCACATGGGCTCTGCTTCAGTTCACGCCTAATAGCCCGTCTGGTCACATTGTGTTCAGAGCCAGCCGAGAGGTGTCTTCTAGATACCAACAGGTTCACCGACCTCTCGGATATCCAGTGACTGGTGCGGTGACGATGGATAGTGCCACAAGCAGATGCTCCTGCGTCGTGCATGGCGGCCGAGATCCTATTCCACTGAAGCTCAGTGTCATTAGGACAAGACAGTGGAAGTTCGGTATACAGTGCTTCTTGATAGGCTTGCCTGACCGAGGACTGAGACAATTTCTCCGTTGCCAATCGTAGGGGACGCTTGGTGTGCCTTCCGGTAAAGTTCATGGAGAAACGACAGCGTACCAAAGCATGATCAGAGTCGACACAGGCCATGTGAGACACATCCTTGACCTTGTGCTCACACCTGGCTCATCAGATGTCTCCGCTCTAGCCATTCTTTAGCCTGTTGGCAAAAGTCATCACTGAGTAGTCTCCTTTTTGTGGACACGACAGTTAGCTATTAATGTTCAAGGAGTGCAACGCCGAAATTTCTGGCGAGCTGAACCCCATAGCTTAAAATTGGCTGCTGGCCTCATGGACTGGAACATCTCTCATCAGATGGATCTCGATGCTGCTTGGGACCTTTGTGCTCCAAGATGATGTTTATCAATGATCGGGTTGTTCCAAGGGTCACAAAACGATCTTTCTACAAAAGGGCCCCATGGATAGATCGAGAAATCAAATCGCTCATGCTGAGAAGGCGAAATTTTTGGGGCCGGTTCAAGTTCACTCAGACGGCTCAAGAGGTTAGAAATTTATGCCCCCTAAGAAAGCGCGAGAAGCAAGAAGTATACGAGCAGCATCTGGCCGAGCAATCTGTGATTAATCCGAAAAAGCTTTTCGCATACCTAAAAAGAAGCACAAAAGCTGTCAACGGTTATACCTGCACTGTATTCAAGCAAAGAGGGCACCGTGCTTCACGATGACATGGCGAAAGCTTATCTACTAGCTTCGGAATATTCCTCGATGTAGGTGACGGAGACGCCATTAGTTGTTGAGGATTCTCCCAGTCACCCCTCTCCATTAGAGCATGTCGAAATTACCACTGACAGAGTACTGGAACTGCTTCTCGACTTGAACTCGAATTCTTCACCGGGTCCCGATGGCTTACATCCCTTGTTCCTCAGAGAGGTGGCGGAGTTCATTGCTGCACCAATTTGGCAAGTATTTCGAAGCTCACTTGAAGCAGGTCGTCTCCCAACTAAATAGTAAGCGAATGTTGTGAAACCGATGTACAAAGGTGGGAATCGCCAAGATCCAGTGAACAACCGACCGATTTGCCTGTCATCAATCTGTAAAACCAAGGAAAGGATTTTGAAACAGGTCTTGCATCTTCACGTTAAGAAATTGGACGTCATGTCCCCTGCTCAGCACGGATTTCGGAGGGCACGTTTTTGCATTACCAATCTGCTTGTTGCCCGAGAAAAGTGGGCGCGGTCCGTGGATGCTGATCATCGCCTCGATGCAGTTTTTGAGGATTTTAGCAAAGCGTTTGATAGGGTTCCACACAAGCGACTTCGGCAGATTGGCAGCGCTTGTAATTTGCTCGCCTGGATCGCTGATTTCCTAGATGACCGTAGTATGAGGGCGAATGTTAACGAAGTTGACTCTGGTCCTGTTCTTATGACCAGTGGGGTTCCACAAGGCTCCGTACTTGGTTCCGAATTATTCAAAATCTTTATCAACGATCTCCCGAATGTGCTCCAAATCGACTGCTTGATCTATGCGGATGATCATAAACTGTGGTCGGAAGTATCCAGGCTTGAAGATGCTGACAGGTTGCAACTGACGCTCGATCTGCTGCCCGATTGGTCAGTCAAGTGGCAAATGCTTATCAATCGTGATAAGTGCTGTGTTCTCCCGATCGGTCATCAGGAACCTTTCGATGCTTACCACATCGGTGGTTTCCTGCTGAAGAATGTGGTTGGTGAGAAGCATGTGGGTGTATTTGTTTCTTCAGACCT